TTATCTATCTAATATAAAGGAATATATAATTTTCACAGCTTCAGATATAGGCCTAGCTAAAATACCATTAAACATTCCAACATCCATTGCCGATAGTTTCATGGAGTTGAGAAGTGTATTTCTCTTATTTGTATGTCGGACATATTCCACCAACACATGCTGCACGTCTTCTATTCTGCCACATATCTCACAATTTGGGGAGTCTGATTTTCGCATGAGGTGAGCGAAGTGGGTTAGTGGAATGTGTCCTGACCTCTGTGTGTTTTTTATGTGCAGTATGTCGTCAACAAAGACGGAATGTTCACAGTTTCACTGCTTATGAGGAAGAGTCCCACTATGACTCGAAATTAGTAGAACGTTACTCAATATTTTATCGTACACCGATATTTTTAATTAACCTTAATAATATTATTGTTTTTCAGACTACTGTGGTGAACAGATACATGGACGGTACATGGGAATTTGAGTTTTATGTGCATAAAGATAATGTTGACATTCTAAGCAACATTGACAAAGTGGCTTATCCAGCAGGCAAACAAGAATACTACACACCAATCATATGCCGTACCAACGTAGCGATTGGTGAGTAGCAGGCTTAACATGCTTTTAGAGCAATATTTCAACGGGATACCATGGTGGCGCAGCCAAACCTGCCACCATGTCACGGTACATAACATAACATAACATCACGCCTTCCATCCCCGAAGGAGCAGGCAGAGGCGCACACCATGCCACTGTATAATGTAACACCCATTTTTCACTATTTATGTTATGAGTCCCATGTAATTGGAGGTGAGCCTATTGCCATATACCGGGCACAATTCCAGACTCCGTACTACTATTGAGAATATTCAAAAACCCAGTAATACTTTGCCCGACCCAAGAATCGGACCCGATACCCCTTGTCCGGCAGTCGCACTTACGACCACTCGGCAGTCGTGACACGGTAATATTATCAATTTATCGTATTATCATTAGTGCAACTCGGCCGCTTCTTGAGAGTTAAATACCTCCAGCCGCGCGGTACGTAAACATTCGTTAGGGCTGCTTATCTCCAGCATTATAATTACATTTGCCTACTTTCTGTTTCTATTTCGTTTTGTGATTGTAAAAATCCTATTTTCATATAAAAAAATTAAATACTTTGTGCATATATTGAATAGGAAGTGTTCAATAAAAATGCGTTTTGTTTTTTTAATGATAGATTTAATTTAAAAACATAATGTTTTTGTTTGAGAAACAAATTTGGCTTATAAATTTGACTTGGCATATCAGCCATGGTCACTCGGGTCACTAGGCCTTCTCCAATGATATTTAGTAACTGCAAGATTTATTATATATATAAAAAAACAAATGAAATAGTAAAAAAACACATTATAAAAAAAATTTAATGACCCTTTAATATATCTTTGGACCAAACTGTACTTGAACTTACCTTTCTAGGAACATTTGACATGATCATAGTATTATGATATATAGTATTATAGTATTATGAATATGTATATATTGAATGAAAATGATTTTCTTTTTTTCCAGAAATGAACAAGGACACGATATTGGGTAAATATGATTTATTTATGGATTATTTTTAAGAAACTATTCCCTTAGTGTAACGAACAATATATTTTAATACATCCCGACCGTCACCTGCTGAACTATCGATGAAAAGACCGATAGTCGGGTCAAAAGACCGATAGTTGGGTCAAAAGACCGATAGTTGAGTCAAAAGACCGATAGTTGAGTCAAAAGACCGATAGTTGGGTCAAAAGACCGATAGTTAAGTCAAAAGACCGATAATTGAGTCAAAAGACAGATACCTGTGCCATACAACATTTAGAAAACAAGCTGACATGTCTTCGTCTGATGGTAAGCAATCACCAGCTGCCCATGGCCGCAATACTAGCAGTCAAGAAGATTCGCCATAATCTGTCATTATTATACTTATATTGTGTGGTTTAATTTCAGATACGAAGTTCATAATCATTTGTTCAGTATTGGGAACCTTGGCATTACTCATCATTATAGGACAAGCTGTTTACATCTACTACTTAAAATCATTGGGTAAGACTTAATTCACTCATACTTTTTTATAGAATAGGCATGGGAGCAGACGGATCACTATTGATGGTGAACGATCGGCGCCGCCCATGGACTGGACATGCGCAACACTATAGAAGTCACAAGTGCGTTGGTGATCTTTTAAAAACGGAATCAGCTATATATTTTTCATACTTTTAAAAGTTTCAAATCAACTTCATCCAAATAAATTATTATGTTTTCGACTTACTCACATAATAATTTGACGAGGAACTCGACTAGTTTCAAGCCATGCTAGACGCTCATATTAGAATAGCAGCGCGACAGTTGCCGCGTCGCGGTTCGCGAAATGCTGCTCATGAATATGAGCCTCTAGCATGGCTTGAAACTAGTCGAGTTCAAACTTAAACTCAAACTCAAAAGCATTTATTTCAATTAAACCATAACTTGGTACCTTTGAATCGTCAACAAATATGAAATAAATAATAGTCTGTCAGTCTGTCCGTCAGTGAAGCTAGGCGCTCGTTCCAAAATGTCGATTCGAGTGGAGAAGAACGAGCAAGAAACTCCATTACTCGTTACTCTTTTAAAAAAAGTCGTTAAAAAAATTACGTGAGTAAGCCGAAAACATAATAATTTATTTAGTATGTCTCACGAAAGTTGTAACTTTCGTTAAATGAAGTTTGTATTGTAATACAAACTTCATTTGTGTCAAGACTGTAATATAGTAAATACGCCTTGTAATAAAATTATGGTGGCGTAGTAGTTTAAGAATCGGAAACTCTCACTGACCAAAGTGGTTAAGGTGGCATGCATTCTGATTGGTTGGTTCACTGAAGCCGGCCAATCAGAGCGCCGAACCCGCTCGATACTATTGTACGAATGCGATTACATGTTACGCAGTAGCCAGTGGAACAGTTGAACATAATATAATCTTTGTACAATGTTTCTTTACAGCTCGAAGGTTGAACGCTCATAACAACTTGTCGAAAAAATCGGATTCCGCTCAAAGTGACGGAGGTAAGTTTTTCAGTTATCTATCACGTCTTCTTTCTTGTGACAAGACTTCAATTAATCCACATAAGTACAAGCACTTTTGAAATACTAAAGTTGGTAGATTGTAAAGAAGATGGTTGAAACTTCAAGTGGTCGAAAAGCTGGCTTCTATCTTGGTTATTATCCAACGTATATCATGGTGGCCTGGACGTTTAAGACGCTCGCTTCTCACGCATGAGGGTGCGGCTTCGAAATGTACCATCGTCAAGTACCAATGTGACTTTTTCCGAGTTATATGTACTTTCTAAGATTATTTAGACACAACGGACAAACGGTGAAGGAAAACATCGTGAGGAAACCTGAGATTATAATTTTTAATTATTAGTTTAAAATCCCCAACCCGCATTGAACAAGCGTGGTGATTAATACTTAAACCTTCCCCGTGTGGGAAGAGGCTTTGCTCACCAGTAGGCATTTATACCCCGAAGGGGTAGGCAGAGGTACACATTACGGCACTTAATACCATTGTACAATGTAACAACCACTTTTCACTGTTACGTTATAAATCCCATGTAATAACGGGTGAGCCCACAGATATGGTGAGCCTATTGCCATATACCGGTCACAATTCCATAATCTAATTCTGTAGTCAAATGTGTAGTCCCTTAGTCAGCTCTTACCTTCACCTGGAGATTTGTAATACAGGTATTTTACGCTTAACACAGACTCCAGCTCCTCGCATTGCCATAAAAACTAGATTATAAATATATTGTAAAACTAGAGTGAGCGTCATTGTGAGGAGAAATAAATAAATAAAAAAATAAATTTATTGCCTTACAACACTGCGACTACATTATTCTGTCAGAAAGATGATTTTTGACAAAGCTCTTTCTATTTCCAGCTCGATACTGTAGCTACCCTCGGCAGAAGAAGATCGACGAAGTGGTTCCAGTCGATAAGAGATACAGTGACATATATGAAGCACCAAATATTGAAATAACCGATAATGGTAAGATTTCTACTCCCGTATTCCTCAAAGTCCAATTACTACCCCTCCCCTCTCTTCCCCAATTTCTCCAATCCCTGAATCCATAAACTACTAATCCCCAAAAGGCGAAGCCTTCCAGTTGTCCATTGGCGATGCCGGTTGCTTTTGGTGATCCGTCTACTCATTTACAATTTTTAAACCATAAAAAAGCATTATTATTAAAAAAAAAATTATTACACTAGCTGCTCTTGCACGGTAAAACCCACTGCTCGGTACTTATTAAATGTACCCCATAACTGTCTATCCAACACAAAAAGTATTATTCAATTTAGACCAGCTGCGCCAGTGATGAGCACGCTCCAGCCTTTTGCGCTGCGAGCCTGCGACGCACCATAGGCATTTTTGTGTGTTCCTAAATTCTTGTTGCGTGTCGTAGCAAAATAAATGATTTTTCTTTCTTTTCTTTTTTGTACAAACAAACTGTTTAAGGCTTTGACTGCCGACAGAAAACTGTTGAAGGTAAATCCTCCGCTAGCATGGCCCATACGTTGTCCCCCATGGCGTTCAAGGTGTTAACTATATTTCAAAATTCCTTTTTGTCTATTTTTCCAGGTCAAAAACATTTCTTGCCTCCAAACCCGCCAGCTATATCAACGATGCCTTGTGAGTTATTTTTTTATTAATTCATACATACATACATACATAACTTCACCCCTGTCTCCCATGGGGGTAGGCAGAGACTATGGAACGCCAATTACTACGATTCCTACATACCTCTTTCGCTTCATCAACAGACATCAATCTTTTCATGCATGCTCGTCGGTTATGGGTACTTTTAATTTGGCCCTTCTTTAGTAATAATTTTTCTTTTTAGGTACTCCAAAAATGGATCGCAATATGGGCGTGCATCCGCAGATGCATGGAGCGACCCTAAACAGAAGCGCAATGATGGACCATACCCATTCCTACCAAAGACAAACAGGTTGGTTTTTATCATTATTATCAACAACAACCCCTGAAAGTCTATGCATCCCTCTATAAAAGAAGGGGGTTTTCCATAAATTTCACTTTTTTTATGGGGTAAGCCAGTAAACGGGCAGACGGATCACCTGATGGTAAGCAATCGGCGTCACCCATGGACACCCAAAAAACTAGAGGCGTTACAAATGCGTTACCGGCCTTTTGAGAATTAGGAATTTGAGGATTGAGGGGGAATCGGGGATTGGGGAGACTGGGGAATGTCACACCAACAGCCTATAAGTACCCACTGCAAGCAAAAGCCTCTTCTCACACGGAAAAGGTTTGAGCATTAATCACTACGCTTGCTCAATGCGGGTTGGCGATTCCAAACCTATAAATAGAAATTATAAGCCCTGGTTTCCTCACGAAGTTTTCCTCCACATTCTATCAGTGGTGTCTTACCTAGACGAACTTATGAATTTTCATTATTTTTCGTTTCAATTTTTCCAGAACGTGATATGGCGAACAGACCTCCGCTGCCTTTACCACCATCTCAAGATGACTTCGAAGTTTATGAACGTAAGTACAAAATATAATTGATTACTGTGAATTTGTGGACAAAATATCCCAATTTTTTATGGTATAAGCCAGTAGACGAGCAGACGAATCGCCCATGGACACCTGGCACACCAGAGGCGTTACAAGTGCGTTACCGGCCTTAGGAATTTGGAATTTGAGGATTCAGGGATTGAGGAGATTGGGACAGGGAGGAGGGGACACTTAATAATATTTGATACCGCCCTGGGAACATGGATATTTAAAGTTCATGTTTTATAGATCCAAAGTCCAAAGTACTGCCTCAGACGGGCATTTCAAACTATGTTATTTCCTACTCACTCATTATATCCGAAAAGCTACATCTCTTTCATTTTATTCATGCTAAGTGTGGGAGAGCCATGCTTCGGCACAAATGGGCCGGCTCGACCGGAGTGGTACCACAACCTCACAGAAAGCAGACGTGGAACAACGCTTGTGATATGTTTCGTCGTGTGAGCGAGGTTAATGGAGGCCCAATTACCCCCCCCCCCTCCTTCCCCAGTCTCCCCAATCCTTGATTCCCCAATAATCCTCAAATTCCTAACGCACTTGTATCGCCTATGTTCCGCGTGTATGGACATGGGCGACACCGATTGCTTACCATCAGGTGATCCGTCAGCTCGTTTACCGGCTTATGCCATGAAACAATAATAATATAAAATAGATATCTAATACTTAAATAATCTTACCTGATAACAATCAAAGGAGAGAAAATCTCTTTTATATCAAGGATGATGATGGTAGATGGTAGTAGCCCGTTAGAGTAAATGCTGATGATGGTAATGATGAATAAGTATTTAATGACACATTCCTTTGTTTTACAGAAATGACTGATGATATGGACACATACGAACCTCCGCCGGTGGTCAGTCAGGCAATGCCACGTAAGTTACAAAATAATGGCTTTTGTAAGATGCTGATAGTAACCCAATTGCATTCTTAAGCGGGAATACTGAAAGGCTATATTTAAGTTGTTAACTCAAATATCGTGCCGTCTTTTGCAGGGGAGTACTCTTAATACTTAAGATAGAAAATTTTACTCAAAGAAAACTTTCCTATAATTTTGAAATGAAAGAAAACTGCATTCAATTTTTTTTTAAATTCGCTCGCCGCATACTGTAATCGACGCTGTAACCGCGACACAGGAGGAAATCCTAATGTGCCGCAACGTTTAAAAAAAAAAAGGAAAATCGACTGAAAAAGCAAAAATGTTCACATGAGTAACCCGTGATTTTAGTTAATTTAATTTTCCACAGCCAGACTACCGATGCCTCCAAAGAAGGTGCCTACAGCAAACCTAGTCAACGTGAAAGAGGACACACTGAAAACTAAAAGAAGTGCCAGACCTCCTGTCACTCCGAAACCACAAATGTCACATGGTAAGTTACATACTACTGTTGTGCTCTGAACCTTGATAGAGTTTAAATATATATACATATATATTTGATGGGCCGACGTTTGACCAATATCTCGCCTGGTGGTAAGCGATGATGCGGTCTACGGTGGATACCTCGTCTCATAAGCAACTTATTCACTCGGGCCTTGAAGACTCCCAGGAAATACAGATTTAGGAAACAGAGAGTATAGTTTCCTAAGATCGGAAAAGGAGGATCCTCCGACCAGGCGAGGTGATCGTGCCTGGCGGGCTTTCTGCCCAACAGTTGTTCGTTGGGATTTTCTATCCGTGTGTTCGCATGTAAACTTCGCATGTGCGATGTAGGATTTTATGACGTCACCCGTTGATTTGCTTTCATCGATAGTCTTTGACATGTGTCGCCACACAGATATATAAATATGTATCATTAGCTGAAGTGCACTAATAAATATAATAATAATAATAAAGCCCTTTATTCTGAATTATTTTTACATTAAGAAGTAATTGGGCTTCCGATAACCTCACTCACACGACGAAACACAACGCGAGCGTTGTTTCACGTCGGTTTTCTGTGAGGCCGTGGTATCATTCCGGTCGAGCCGGCCTATTCGTGGCGAAGCATTATGGCTCTCCTACGCCTAAATATATTTTTGCGCACAAATAGGTACTAAAGAACTCCTTTTTTTCAGCTGCGGTAGCACCAGTCAATGAATTGCAGCAGGTCTTGAAGAGGAGACAAGCGGGAATTGGTATGTATACTGCAGTTTTAAGTTTAACATTATAATTATTTTATTACGACACTAGGATTTTCTCCTGTGTCGTGGATGCGTTTACGAACATACAAGTTCAAATACACATCGCACCCAGACCTCGAACAACAATCTGTGGATCACGCAGAGAATTGTTCCGTGAGTATCGAGCCCGCGACACGTCCCGCGGCAGCCATTTACCCAGCCACAGTTCCAACCGTGTAGTTTGGTATTGCGATAATTGATTAACTCGTCGAGTACCGGTTTTGTAGACACAATTATAGAACAATAGGTTGCGGTCACCGGTGACCGCTTGGTGTTTGACAGTTTAAATTCGGTCGTCAATCGATTTCGATTGAATCTGAATGCTCTTGATCAGCAGTCACGAGGCAGAAGATTAGATTTCTAAGTTATTTATTTATTAATTTTATATTTTAGAAACTGCAACAAGAAGCAACGAATTGGAAGAAGCGTTGAGAAAACGAAATAATGGTAAGCATCTGGTTTTATATCTTCATCTCCTTCTGATACCTAAGTACCTAAGCTAGGGTGTCCTTCTGTGCCGCGGAGAACCTAACGGGTTACCGAGGCTCCGACTCGAAGCGCTGGAGAAGGAACGGGGTGGTTTTTAGTCAGTAAAAGTCTGACACTCCCTCCCGCCTCACTCAGGCGGGAGCAGTCATTCGATGATTTTTCCCCCCTTAAAAAAAAAGGTGGATTCAGGCTGGCTTTCTCTTTCCATTTATTTTGCTAAGAATTATGAGTTGAGGGATTCACCTAGGTTTTTGTGATACTCGCTATAAAAAAAAATATATTTTGAAACGAGCACCTAGCTTCACTGACGAACAGACTGACAGACTATTGTGGTTTTTTTTGTTGACGTTCCATCAACAGCCTATAATGCCCACTACTGAGCAATCCTCTTCTAACACTGAAAACGTTTGAGCATCAATCACCACGTTTGCTCATTGCCGGTTGGCAATTTCAAACTTATAATTAGAAATGTACTTTTAGTTCAGGTTTCCTCACGATGATTTCCGGCTCTGTGTGTCAGTGGTGTCTAAATAATCTTAGAAAGTACATATAACTCGAAAACGTCACATTGGTACTTACCGTTGGTAGGTTTCGGACCTGCACCCTCATGCATGAGAAGCGGTCGTCTTAACCTCCGGTCCACCACGACATGTTGTTGACGTCTCAAAAGTACAAAATTATGATTTAATTAAACTTATGATTTTGAGTTTGAGTTTGATCTGTTACAGCATATCTTATCATTTGATTTCATGAGCTCTTTATTCATCTTTCGAATGAAAAATACTTATAAATCGTTTTCTTTTTCAACAGTTAAACAAGTGCCTATCGTCTCCATACCTGATCCAAGTCCAGCAAAGACCAGTAAGTACTTTAGTTATAAAAGTTATGAATTCGCTAAATATGACATAAATATATTTGAATCTTAAAAAAAATAACAGTATATATTTGACAAGCTTAAAAAAATAACAGTAAATCGTGAGGAGAACCCAGCATTGCGTACCTTGTAATAAAAAAATCAAAATATCTTGATACAACTTGTAACATCAATGCGCTCCAAGTCTTCTTCCCCACCCCCCCCCGCCCGTCCGCTTCGTCTGACATCTTGCTATGAAATGCTCAGTCGAATCTATATGTTACATTACACGCAAATGCTCGTTAGTCGGGGAGGTATTATTGTAATGTAATGCTCAAAGGCAAATCTATATGTTACATTACACGAGAATGCTCCCGGTGAGGGTGCACCTTTAAGTAGGTACCTCATATCTGCCCATAAGGCCATAAATTATGCCCATACCATAATCTACATTGTATCCCAATAATACAAAATGATAGTAATTGGGTACTTTCCTTTATCAAAAATAAATTATTTCGACTGTTCAATACAATAAAATATTAAAAAATAATCACACCTTCATTAATTGTGTTTATGACAAACTTAATTTTAGTATTTTTCTAGCAAATTTTTAAGAAATAAGTATGCTGTTTGCCGCTAAAAAAACGTGACGTCACAATACACAATCTCGTAAAAAATTCATAAAAAACTGTCGTTGTTGACAGTTCGAAAAAAGTAAATACGTATACGTACCCAATTATACGATTTTAATGTATTGTATCATGTTTTCAGGACCTGTTGTAAAATCAAAGCCGAGAATACCGCAACCACAGCCAGTACAGGAAGGTAAATACATAAATAGAGATAGTTTCATTAATTTTCCTCTAATACAAACAATCAGCACGTTAACGTACACGAATCTTTAATCGATAATCAATTATGCGGAGTTGTAATAAAGTTGAAATTTATAGATATTTTGATATGTAGCTTGATTTGCCTGTTTCTATGATCGCATTATATCTATATCTATACACATGTTTGCGTAGATATTTATAGAGATTTTTTACATTTTGACTGCATGGTTGGCGCAGTGAATGGGCGAGGCAGCCCGCAACGTGTCGCGGGTTCGATTCCCGCACGGAACAACTCTTTGATCCACAGATTATTGTTTCGGGTCTGAGTGCCATGTGTATGAGAACTTGTATGTTAAAATAAAAAAAATTATGTCATACATACGTATATGGCATATTTATATAATTATGATAGGACGTACTAAAATCAGTTTTTCGTTTCAGAAATCTACTACAACGAAAATCAAGCGTCTTCGGACGAAGAATGGACCTACGAGCCTTTGAAACCACATAAAAACTACGACCCTAACATTTATAACATATAATGTACTTTAGTATATTGTAAATAGGGTTAAATTTTGATTTTTAGAAGTAGGTAGGTCGATTTCGATGTATTAAAAGACAGAAGATATGAAAAGACGGGTGTATTAAAAGAAGAACTATGTGTGAAGGTCAACAGCCTGCTGCGACCACCTGCTGACTTTCTTCTCACACGGAGAAGGTTTGAGCATTAAACACCACGCTTGCTCAATACGAGTTACCCATTTGAAACTTATAATTAGAAACTGCCCGGGTTTCCTCATGGTGTTTTCCTTCACTGTGTGTCAGTGGTGTATAGATACTCTTAGAAAGTACATATAACTCTACTCTAGAAAGAAGTTGAAGAATTTGTTTGTTCGTTTGTTTGTTTGTTTCAACGCGCTAATCTCAGGAACTAATGGTTCGATTTAAAAAATTCTTTTTGTATTGGATAGTCCATTTATCGAGGAAGGCTATAGGCTATGACACATCACGCTACGATCGATAGGCGCCGAGTAGAGCGTGTGAAACCGCGAGGAAGTAGATAATGGAATATAAATAGGGATTCCGAGCGTGATATTGCTTCTCCGGATTTCTTCAAGAGAAGATGGTAGGCATGTGTACAGTCAATGGTCAAAAGTCCACTGCCACCGTGAGTGATGTCCACACGGCAATGTGTAAGTAATTGCATATTAATGTGCATAAAACGCGTGCGTCCGCATTAACACACACACGCGTACGCACACAGATAAAAAAATGCGTGTAAATGTGTGTATAAGCGCTGCAGCGCAACCGATAGTAGTCTTACGGTGGCAGTGGACTTTTGACCTTTGACCGTACATGGCATTAATGTGTTAAGTTTTTCAAGTGTACAATAATGAATAAATATTTTTACGTTCAGTACATTAATAAAATCTCGACGATTTACTTGTATCTATTGTTATCAAAATTAAATGATAAGTTCTTGACTTGACCACGACTATGTGCACACCTCCTGGCGCTAAAGCTGAATCTGCCCTTGCCTAACCAGCTCAGCAGAGGGGGCTCAAGATCCCTGCCGCCTGGATCCGCCCATTGGCTACACATTAAGCTATGCCAATCCAGTTTATCATGGACAAATAAAATCAAATGGTTTTATTTTTAAACATAGGTAAATTTACAGCAAAGTGAGACATATTACAGATAAGTAGCATCCTATGTTTTGCCCAGAGGCGTACAAATGTATAATTGTTGAGTCTAACATCGGCACATACAGTCAATATGAAAGTATAAGAAGATGTATAATAGGGTAGATGACTAATTTTTATTTTAATGTCCGTCTGGTAGATTATTCAAAAACATTAGACACGTATTTTTTATTTTCGTACTGAAACGAATACTTTCCACGACATATTGATTTGAAATGTCGCGTGACGTCACTTCTATGTACATTTTATGCATAGAAATGACGTTTTAGCCCCCACTCATAAACTTTGATTCGTTATATCTAAGTATTGTTTTATTATACAACAAAATAAAAAAATACGTGTCTAAAATTTTTTTATTACCTGGGTAACTGACGGGATTAATTAGATTTTTAATTTTCATACCCTGTCATCATCCCTATTGTAAGATGAAGTAATTTTTTGGGTACTTGCCAACTAGTCAAATTCAATACCTTTTTCGAACTGTCAAAGACGACAGTTTTCTATGAATTTTGTACGAGATTGTGTATTGTGACGTCACGTTTTTTAGCGTCAAACTGCATACTTATTACTAAAAAAAAATGCTGGAAAAATATTAACATTAAGTTGGTCATAAAATCAATTAATGAAACTGTGATTATTCTTTAATATTTTAGTGTATTGAACAGTCGAAATAATTTATTTTTGTTTTTATTTTATGGCATAAGCCGGTGAACGAGCAGACGGATCACCTGATGGTAAGCTATCGGCGTCGCCCATGGACACCTGGAACACCAGAGGCGTTACAAGTGCGTTACCGACCTTTTGGGGATTAGGAATTTTAGGATCGTTTATGTTGTTCTGTTATAAGGGAAGTTTTATATTAGTTTATATTAGTAGTTCCATCTTTATTACAATGTAATTAAGGTTATATGACTGCCTCGTTGGCCGAGTGGTCGCAAGTGCGACTGCCGGGCAAGGGGTTCGATTCCCGGGTCGGGCAAAGTAATACTGGGTTTTAAAAAAAATCTCAGTAGTCTGTAAATGTGCCCGGTATATGGCAATAGGCTCACCCCCTATTACATGGGACTCATAACATAAATAGGGAACAGTGGGTGTTACATTGTATAGTGGCATAATGTGCACCTCTGCATACCCCTTCGGGGATAAAAGGCGTGATGTTATGTTAAGGTTATAATTGCTTAAAGTTACGGATAGCTTGATGAGCTTATCTGTGTAACACCATTATTGTAAATGAGATTATCAAACTAGACTAACTAATTTAATTAGATTGTATTAATTTAAGGTTCAAATTGTAAATAGCAAAAGAATATATGCAAATTAAGAATATAGCTAGTTTTATTTCCTAAGACATTAGACTTCACCACTCAAGTTATTATTATAACCCTTCTCTACATAAGAAGGTTCTCCATAATCTCGACGATTGGCTAGTAAGTTCATCATCCAGAGAGTACTACTAACGTGCTCCATCGTAGGCCACATCATCGTCTACCACCAGGCTAGACAGTGGTCAAACGCCAGTCCCATCTAATATATAAAAACCGGTATCTGACAGATGTGTACCTTCAGACAGATGTGTATAAGTCTTTTTTAAGGAGGGGAAATCATTCAGTGACTTCTTCCGCCTCGGGTGAGGTGAGAGGAAGTCAGACTCTTACTGACTAAACATAAATACCATCCCGTTCTTACTAGGGTATCGGTTCAAAGCAGGAACCCTGGTTACCATTTTTTTTAAGGCGTTAAAATCATCGAATGACTGCTCCCGCCTGGGTGAGGCGGGAGGGAGTGTCAGACTCTTACTGACTAAAAACCACCCCGTTCCTGCTCCTGCACGTCGAGCCGGAGCCCCGGTTACCCGTTAGGTTCTCCGTGAACCTAGGTTGTCCCCAGCTTCATAGCTCTTAAAATATCCACAGTTAAAAGAGGTGGTGATATAGACAACTTATTCACATCAGCCAAATATTACACGTAACATCACGCCTTTCATCCCCGAAGGGGTAGGTAGAGGTGCCCACTACGACATTTAATGCCACTGTACAGTGTAACACCCACTTTTCACTATTTATGTTACGAGTCCCATGTAATAGGGGGTGAGCCTATTGCCATATACTAGGCACAATTCCAGACTCCGTGCAACTACTGAAATTTTTCATAAAACCCAGTAATACTTTACTCGACCTGGGAATCGAACCGGAAACCCCTTGCCCAGCAGTTATACTTGCGACCCCTCGATCAACGAGGCAGTCAATTATTTTAAAGGACAATAAATAAAATACAACCATAAAAATTATTTTCAAGAAATGTAGGTATTTCAATAAATTTATTAATTACCTATTTACATAATAATAATAATTAATTATAAACTAAATATTAGGGAGTAAAAAACTATATAAGTCAAATAAAGTCACTGTGTCATGGGGCCCTTTTCACAAACGTAACAAAAAATGAGCATTGATCTTTAAGACGGATCAACATCAAGTTTCATTACAATATTTCACTCTGACATATTTTATTGAAGTCAAATTTTTCGATTTGCAGTGAAAGAAAGAAATAAAAAATGAAAGAAAGGAAGAAAGAATGAAAGAAAGAAAGAAAGATCGTTTATTTATCAAACATGCGTTTACATATACTGAGTAGTCAGACATGCAAGATATTAAATAGATTAGTATTTAGTTGTGCGTTCATGTTTCGCCAATATTGACGTACATATAGGTAAAAAAATTATATTAAATTTCATTTAAATCAATAATTTGTACTACAATAGTAATTATTAAATTTCATTACAGATATAAACAAGAAATAAATATGAATTTGATGTCACAATATTTTAAAATGCATGCATGAAAAGATTAATGACTGTTATTGAAGCGAAAGAGATATGTAAGAATCGTAGTAATTGGCGTTCCTTAGTCTCTGCCTACCCCCGTGGGAGACAGGCGTGAAGTTTTGTATGTATGTATGTTATATTTTAAAATTAAATAGTTACTTATATGGTAATAAAAATAAATTACGTCCAGTATATCCATTATTATACAGTCAAATAGAGATCCTAAAAATAAGTCGATTAATTTACAAATCAATAATAAATTATATTATTATATCCAGAAGGTATACAAAAGAATTAATTTTATGAGAAATGTACACACAATATTATTCTTTACCATTAAATATATTATACGAATTCTGAATTAAAAAGTCTTTTCCATTAAAAAGACCTGTAATAAGCTTTATTAATTAACTAAAAGGAGTGAAGAATGAGGAGTGGAATTCTTAGCCAAAGAGTTTTTCCTGCAGGGTATAACCTGGGTGTCTTCAAGGCCCGAGTGAATAGGTTGCTTACGGGACGACGTGCTCCGTCGTAGACCGCATCATTGCTTACCAGGCGAGATAGTGGTCCAATGTCGGCCCATCATATATATAAATAAAGACATGTAAGAAGAAGGAACTTCCCAAGAGCTCTTCGGCTTGGAGAACGCAATTATGTGCTCCATAGTTTAGAAGTCACTGCAGCTTGTCCGAATGGTGGCATTTTATGACATGTCTTAGACCTGAGGGCTTAGTATAAGTTTATCTTACATTTAAAAATTTAAAGCAATCGAGACCTAGCTCGACGCTCTGATTGGTTGGTTCATTGGAGCCAGCCAACCAGAGCGTCGAATGCGTACTCATTACAAAACTGCGATGCAACGTCAACGTCGCATCGCAAAAATGCGCGAGCTCTACGCATCGCAAGAAATTGTGAATTGGTTCGCATCGCGCATCAAAATCTTATCTTCCCAAAATCTTCTTTGTTTCTTTTTCCTATATCTCCTTAGAAATAACAGAAGTGCACACTTCTTTTTACGATCCATATCACGACTTAGTTTTCAATTTAAAATACGTCGTAAAATACGTTGACGGTCGTCGAAGGAATGGTCACCCTGGGAGACGCCTAGTCGCACGAAATCGCATCGCAGCAATTCGCATCGTAATTTTTTCCGTTGCAAATTCGCGTCGCATCACAGTTTTGTGTACGAGCCTCTGCTAAGACGTTGGAAGCTATCTTTGACTGCCAATAGAAATCTGCTGAGAAAGGAAAATCTGCTCCCTAGGCGAGGGTGCTCCATGAATATATCGCATCTTGAGGCCAGAAAACAAGAAAAAAAAGGCAAGTCCTTCGCTACAGTCGGCGTCGGTCACCGGTGACTGCCAAAGCGTTTGTCCTGTTCTGAATTGTTATAAATATTTTTGCATCGGCGCCAACCTTTCATATTGCCAATCTTCTTCCCATGTCACTCGATTATCTGTAAAAAAAAACAATTATTAAAACATCCGACTTCGTAAACACTTTTGGTTTTATATCTATCTATTTAAAATACGTTACATTGTTAACTTTATTGTATTGCCATAAAGTCGGAAATCTGATGAACAGATTAGAGTACGTTGATCAGCTGGCTGGCCACTGTACGTTTGATATTCATATTATACACTTCTGGACACGTCTATTGGCCCACCTTGTATTATCAGTTTCGTTTGGTCCTAGCTAAAATTTTATATTAGGTCGAGCAAAAAGTTTTTATGCAGTTTTGAACCTGGCGCATTCACAATTTCATCCAAGAGTCTTTTTTTGAATTTCGAACTCAGAATTTAAAGAAACAAAAGACAATTTAGAGCCTGTTTGTTGATATCAAACTATCGAATAATAAGAAAACTTGGTTTTATTGGTTTACTTGGATTTAATTCTTGAAAAAAAACCTACTTATTTCAAAAAACTTCTTACCTATCAGTGGGTGGGTAACCTATCAGTACTATTAGTAGTAGTAGATAGTTATTTTTTGCTTTTTAGTTTTGCCTTTTTGTTTGTTATACTTATTACTATTAGTTTTTGGTTTTTTGCAGTTTTTTTTTATTATTTTATCATTTTCAGTGTAATGCTACAAATACCCGTTTTGTTTCTTATAATCTACATAGGTGCAAAGTTCTAATTAAACTGTCAAACACCAAGTGGTCACCGGTGACCGCAACCTATTGTTCTATAATTGTGTCTGTAATGACGGTACTCGACGAGTTAATACAAATTATACAAGCCCAAACAATAGGTAGTTACAGTATACCGTTAAGTAATTCCCTTAACAATAACACTTCTTCATCATCAGCCCCTAAATGTCAGCCCCACTCTATCTAGGTGTAAAGTCCTCATCAATACAATTTAATCAAGCCCAAACACAAGGTAGTTACTGTATACCGTTGAGGAGTTCCCTTAACAATTACACTTCTTCATCATCAGACCCTGAATGGCAGCCCCACTCTATCTAGGTGTAAAGTCCTCATCAATACAAATTAATCAAACCCAAACACAAGGTAGTTACTGTATACCGTTGAGGAGTTCCCTTAACAATTACACTTCTTCATCATCAGACCCTTAATGACAGCCCCACTATATCTAGGTGTAAAGTCCTCATCAATACAAGTTAATCAAGCCCAAACACAAGGTAGTTAATATAAACCGCTGAGGAGTTCCCTCGACTGTCTGTCGGCTCCATAATCAATTAGACTCCAGACCCTTGTCAAATTGTAGTGTTTAAAAATCGTAATTGCAAAACATAATAGACGCATTATTCGCCCATAGAATTTTCGAAAGTTCCCCTCGGTTTACTTAGGATCCCATCATCAGATCCTGATCTCATGGAAATGGGACCATCTCGGGAGTGTACCCTTTCAAACAAAACAAAACATTTTGAAAATCGGTTTACAAAAGGCGGAGTACAGCGCGAACAAACAAAAAAAAACAATCAGCTGAACATAGTACCTCCTCCTTTTTTTGAAGTTGGTAAAAAGTGATCGATATCTTTGGTTTTGCAACAAACATTACTTATTCTTAACATTAAGGTGAGGTTCTATCAATAATCTATGGATACTTCACCTGAAGTCGCCGCCCAAGTTGTGGGTGGCACTTATTCAGGCCGGACACAGCCAAAGAAACGTGAGTGCTCAACTTAATTTTGCGGTCCGAATCGTATGAGAGCTGTGGTAGATGCCCATGGACGCAACACGTGTTATTAAATTAAACCCTTATTTGATAAAACATGTTTTTTATTCGAAAATCAATTGCCTTTAACAAGGCGCATATCCGATTTGTTAGGCGTCCGCGTAGCTCCATGTCGTATGGTATTCTGAATTCAAATTTAAAACAATACGATTGAAAAAGATAATAAAATGTATCAGGTTTAAAACTGCATCAACAGTTTTTCATTCAATCTAGCAATCATATATATAAGCAAACCTAAACTCTAAGGTGGGCCAATACATGTGTCCAGGAGTGTATTGACAAGTGACGTTAGTGATATTTCAATTCAATATAACTATTGTCATAACATTTGACTTCTGAGTCAAGGAGAAATACGATTCCAATAACTAATAAAATTAATTATTTTAATCAAAGAGCTGGACCACAGAATTCCCTGTACCATAATATAACATCACGCCTATTATCCCCGAAGAGGTAGGCAGCGCTGCACATTACGGCACTTAATGCCACTGTACAATGTAATACCCACTTTTCAGTATTTATGTTATGAGTCCCATGTAATAGGGGGTGAGCCTATTGCCATATACCCGGCACAATTTCAGACTCCATGCTACTACTGGAATTTTTTTTAAACCTAGGAATACTTTGCCCGACTCTGGAATCGAACCCGAGAGTGGCAGTCGCACTTGCGACCACTCGGCCAACGAAGCAATCTTTTCCGTACCGTAAAATAATAATTCTCTCTTAATATGATAGATCTCTGTATAATAAAATAATTATTATTATTAACTATATGATATAATTTAGCATAATTGCAATAAACATTATGACAATAGTTTTCTAAATTCCCGGAAAATTGACATGGATTTACCATAATATTATATGAGTGCACTATTTTATTAATATTACGTTCACAGACTTTCAGTGACGTCTATATACAAAAACATAATAAATGTATATAACTTTGTTTTGGAGGGGGGAAAAATCATCGAATGACTGCTCCCGCCTGGGTGAGGCGGGAGGGAGTGTCAGACTCTTACTGACTAAAAACCACCCCGTTCCTTCTCCTGCACGTCGAGCCGGAGCCCCGGTTACCCGTTAGGTTCTCCGCGACATATGTATATAACTAGCAACCCGCCCCGGCTTCGCACGGGTGCAATTAGAAACCTCTAAATTTATCAGTTTGTCTCTACTATATTACGCATTTATTATGCAAACAAAACTTAAGAATCACTCTATCTATTAAAATAAACCGCATCAAAATCCGTTGCGTAGTTTTAAAGATCTAAGCATACATAGGGACAGACAGACGGCGGATAGTGACTTTGTTTTATACTATGTAGTGACTCGTCATATAGACCTACATACGTAATTGTTTTGATTATACAAATTTCCTCTTCAATTACGCAATTATATTACCGCTATATAAAATAATAAATACTTCAATAATAATAATTTTATAATAACAATCGTGAGACATACTAAATTAACTAAAAATCGCGGGTTACTCACGTGAATATACTGAGAAAAGCTCTATTAGTTTGAAACTTTGAACCACAGCCCTCTTTTTTTATAGGACAAGCCCGCCACAACCTCCCAAAACTACTGCAACTCCTGTAAGCCAGGATCTAAAGTAGATACAACCATGAAAACACCGGAACACTGAAATCCGGCGCGTCCCTGGGACATGAGTGTCTGTCATAACTGTCTTGGTTCCCGCAACGAAGTGAATCATAAGATATTATAAGTGGAGAAGAAGAAAAAACTATAGTTTCCACTTCCCTCGGTGAATTACTGCAGGAGACAGAATGAATTAGTCTGAAGGCACAAAGAAGAGACTGTACAACTGGGTGACGCCCAGTCGCCAAGCACCACGGAAATTTGACTAAAAACTAAGTAGGTCCTATGTTTGAGCTGTTATACTTGCTTCCAATAATAGGTATGGCAAAAGCGCCTAAACGCACGGAAATTTGTTCTAGATTCCACAAGGTCCGTATAATAAGCGACACCTGACGAAACAATTGAATTATTTAACATAGTGTTACGTTCATATTGCCAGACATCACACTCCCAGAGTATGTGATGGGCAGGCTGCTCGTATTGCAACTCCACTGTCAACAGCCCTCTGTGGAAGAACCCCTATTCTTCCTCATGGACAGCGTATGCGGTCACGACGATGTCGCGCAGGCTACTCGTACAGATACAAGAACCCCTCTGTGGCTCGAAACTAGTAGAGCTTTTCTCAGTATATTCACGTGAGTAACCCGCAACTACCTCGTTGGTCAAGTAGTCATACGTGCGACTGCCGGACAAGGGGTCTCGAGTTCGATTCCCGGGTCGGGTAAAGTATTAACTGTGTTTTTAAAAACCTCAGTAGGAGCACGGAGTCTGGAAATGTGCCCGGTATATGGCAATAGGCTCACCCCCTATTACATTATGTCATAACAAAAATAGTGAATAGTGGGTGCGACATTGTACAGTGGCATTAAGTGCCGTAATGTGTACCTCTGCCTACCCCTTCGGGGATAAAAGGCGTGATGTAATTACAGTAAATCCATCGAGGTTGTTATTGGCTTGTAACTTAAGCGGCTATAAAAATTAATTCATATAATTTATTCGAATTTAAATTATACGAAAACAAATTATAAAAATAAATATGCAATAATAATATTTTTTAAAAGAGTAACGAATGGTGTTTCTTGCTCGTTCTTCTCCATTCGAATCTACGTTTTGGAATGAGCACCTAGCTTCACCTAATTTCACTGACGGACTGACTGACAGACTATTATTTATTTTGTATTTGTTGACGTTTCAAAAGTACCAAACTATGGTTTAATTGAAATAAATGCTTGACATGACTTTGACTTTGACTTTGAATTATTTTGAAGTGTTGTCTATTATACCAGAACATATTCTATGTCATTCATATTATGTATATAAATAAAAGTGAATTTCCGCTCGTTAATTCCTAAAACCCTAGAACGTGTGAACCGATTTAGCTCATTTTAGTCTTGAAATGTTCGTGGAAGAAGAGAAATTTATTAAAAACACTTGGTTCGTCAAAAGGCTACAATCTTTTTCAAACTAAAGCAGTTAGCTCAGAATTTATAATTCAATAATACTGGAGCACTATTCAGGATAACATAAGCAAAAATACAGACGAAAAAGTAAAGAATTGAAGCAACAAGAGTCTGGCACACTGACTGACTGACACACTCTGACTGACACAGGTTGTACTTTTTCGAGGATTGTAAAGTCATTATAATTTAAAAACTATCTGACTTGGATTTATTTTAATATGTTTCTGATAACTGGAGGAACCTTGCCGATCACCTTGTCCTGGTGCCATTTGATCATCGACTTCAGGGACACATAAATAATACTAAAACGTAGTTTATGCATAATTTCTATACAGGAAAAAGATTATAATATTATAATACTATATACAGGAAAAAGAACAAAAACTTGTGGACTTTGATATCGCCGGATGGATGGCAAAACTAAATATCAAACTGATTTCATTATGACAAACAAAAATAACTACTTTACTAACTTCACCGTCAGAAATAAATTGAACTTTAATATCAATCATAAACTAATTAGAACAGAACTGGTAACACCTCAACCAAAATTAGCAAGACCAAGACAAGATACAAGAACCATTAAACTAGGGAACTATAAGCTGAAACAAGTAACCAATGCACTAAAAAACAAATTCTCAGACTACATAACTAATACAAAAACATTAGAAATGCAAGGAAAATACAACTGGATTGAAAATATCATAAAAACTAAAACAAAACTTGCGGCAAATACCAAAACTGAACACAATAATTGGCTTTCAAAGAACACCAAAGAACTGCTGGAGAAGAGAAATCACTTAATCAGTGCTATATGTACTCAAGATAGACGACAAAAGTTAACGACGGTAAATAAAGAAATTAAAGATAGCATAAGGAAAGATAGAAAACAAAACAGAATGGAAATAATAGAAAGATGTATAATAAAATCGGGTGGTGTAAAGAAAGCATATAAAGAAATAAATAATTCATTGGATTGGATAGTTAAAATAAAAAGCGGCAGTGGAAACTGGAAACATCGCCGAACTGACATACTGACAATAGCAACATCCTATTATAAGAAATTATACTAAGCCAAAACACCAGAAAACGAAATTGATTTCTCAAAACCCTCAAGCGTTTTTAGAGTACTCGGATACTCTAAAAACTGTCGAGAAAGCTATTGAAACACAAAGGACAAGACACCAGGTCCAGATGGCATTAGTAACGAGATCTTACAACAGGGCAAACATGTTCTAATACCTGCGCTAACAGATATCTTCAACAATATCTTAAACACCGAAACAATCCCTCAGCAATGGACAGAGTCGAATATTATCTTGCTCTATAAGAAAGGAGACAAAGTTAAACATGAAATTGGAAATTATCGCCCTATCAGTCTCATGTTCAACATATACAAAGTTTTCGCAAAAATAATTTTGGTACGAATCGAAGGTACACTGGATGATCACCTATCAAACAGGCTGGATTTCGCATGGGCTACTCTGTAATTGATCACATTCACGTAGTTCGACAAATTCTTGAGAAGTGCAGCGAATATCAGCTTATATACTATATTGCTTTCATTGATTACAGTAAGGCCTTCGATTCTCTGATACATGAATATATTTGGGAAGCTTTAGAGGAGCAAGGGATTGAACATAAATACATTCGTCTTATAAGGAACATATACAGCCACAGAACAGCTAGAATCCAGTTAGAGAAGAAAGGCCGCTCATTTAAAATAGGTAAAGGTGTTAGACAGGGAGACCCCCTATCGCCTAAATTATTCTCGACCGTACTTGAATGGAAAATTTTGGGATTAATGTTGACGGCACATTGCTAACACATCTGAGGTTCACTGATGACATAGTCCTATTTGCTAGAACACCTGAAAAAATTAATAGAATGATAGTGGACCTTGCGGTTGAAAGCGAAAAAGTAGGACTAAAACTCAACCCAGAAAAAACAAGACTGATGACAAATGGAAAGAAAACCCCAGTAACGTTGGAAAACTTGGAAATTAACTACTCTGATGAATACATTTATCTTGGACAGGTCATAACACAAAAGGAACCGATGCGCGAGGAAGTAAAAAGAAGAATTATAAACGGATGGAGAAGAGACTAGAGCTTTAAAGAAATTATGAAAAACAAAACACTTTATATCACCATCAAAAGAAAACTGTTCAATGCTAGCATACTATCTGTTCTTACGTATGGCTGCCAATCATGGACTATAACTCAGGAATTGACAAGCCAACTTACAACCTGCCAACACGCTATGGAGAGGAGTATGCTGAGTATCAAGAGGTCTGACAGAGTAAAAAACAATATCATTAGAAATAAAACTAAAACCACAGATGTTACGCTGAAAATCAAAAGACTCAAATGGAGATGAGCTGGCCACATGATAAGAGGTCACGATAAATGGAGTAAGAAAGTAACAGTATGGTACCCAAGGGAAGGGAAAAGGAAGAGAGGGAGACCACAGAAACGATGGGACGATGACATCAAAGAGGTGGCAGGTGTGACGTGAAACAGAGTGGCTCAAGTAAGGATATAATGGAAAAGGTTGGAGGAGGCCTTTGCCGATTGGCAAACAGATCTGCGAATGATCGCCAAACAGCAAATAATAGATTTAGAATTTTTAACTTTAAGTTGCTTTTAAATGTAAGTGTAACGTAATGTAAGTTAGGGATCTGAATAAAAGGCTATATTATTATTATATTATTAGTACTAATACTAATTTAAATTGAGGCATGACATACTACTCTGTCAAGAAAGTACCGAGAAAAGATATTTTTTGTCCATTATGAATTATTCATCATCAGCCTGTATTCGTCTACTGCTGGACATAGGCCTCTCCAATGGCACGCCACTGAGCTCGGTCTTCAGCTCTTCTCATCCAACCACTGCCAGCCACCTTGCAGATGTTGTCACTCCACCTAGCTGTAAGGCGCCCTACACTGCGTTTGCCTAGACGCGGTCTCCACTCTAGAACACGTTTGCCCCATCGGTTATCGGTTCTTCGACAATTGTGACCGGCCCACTGCCACTTCAGCTTACTAATCCTTGGGCTATGTCGATAACTTTGGTTCTCTGTCGGATCACTTCGTTTCGGATTCGATCCTTCAAAGAGACTCCGAGCATAGCCCTCTCCATAGCTCGCTGCGCGACCTTAAATTGGTGGACCAGTCGCACTGTCAGTGTCCACGTCTCGGCTCCGTATGTCATTATTGGAAGGACGCACTCGTTGAAGACTTTTGTCTTCAGGCTTTGCGGTATCTGTGACGAGAAGACTTGATTAACTTTTCTATATAAGCTGTATTCTTCTACGGGCCTTCTTCTCGAAGTTGCTCCTAGCAAGCTGCAGGGTTTATGAATTATTCGCAATACACTACATATGATATTACTAAAACCAGCACTGTATTTAATAGATATAAATAACAGATGCAACTCAAACTCCGCGCCAAAATGAAAACAGTTGTGCCAATCTAACAACTATAAAAAACAAAAATTTGAATTTGGAGCCATAACCAAATCATCCATTCCTGATACTTTTTTGACTGAATGTAATACGCTATAGACTGCCACAACACGAGAGGAATTACAAGTGCATTGCTAGCGGTATACGAGTCAGAAATTTGGTGATTAGTACTTTGGATATTTAGGACTTAGGAAGTTGAGAGATTAGGGATTGTGATTGGATTTGCGGATTATTTTACTGTCTTTTTTAGTATATTTCTGGTTCAATACATACTAATTGTTATTAATTCTTGCATATTTGTAGGGGCACCAGTTTTTGAGCGCCGCTGTGGCCGTGGTCGTGGACGTGGGCGTGACCGTGGACAGCTACCCTGGTTCATATGAGTTGATTTTAAACATCGTAATCGCTTATCCTTCGGTGATGATAGGGCTAACAGCACTGAAATAAAATATTTTAAATGAAACTAAGTTTGTGTTAAATGTGTGAGGACTGCCTTGTTGGCCGAGTGGTCGCAAGGGCTAGGGGTCTCGGGATCGATTCCCGGGGCGGGCAAAGTATTACTGGATTTTTTTTTAATTCTCAGTAGTAGCACGGAGTCTATAATAGTGCCGGGTATATGGCAATAGGCTCACCCCCTATTACATGGGACTCATAACATAAATAGTGAGAAGTGGGTGTTACATTGTACAGTGGCATTAAGTGCCGTAATGTGCACCGCCTCCTCGGGGAGAAAAGGCGTTATTTTAATCCACTTATACGATACCCACATGAAGAGTCAGGGGTGGTGACAAAAGCATTCTACTCTGCTATTATAACCACAACAACATTAATAGCACGGAAATCGAACACGTAGCACTTACCTTGAGATTGCGTCTTAGCAACATTAGGAGCTGTCCTTTTACCGGCCACGTTGTGAGCTTGCCCTAATGGCATCATAGAAAGCGCTGAAAACAAAATTAGAAACTTTGCATTAAAAGAATTTGCTTCACAAGGTAGCATATATCAAGGTACACACAACCAGTATAAACTGACCGTCGAATGTACGGAAAGATCACATGAAGCGGGACCAGGATAAATTGGATATCATAACTCGATGCATCAAGCTGACCAACCAGTATTAACTGAACGTCGAATGTATGAGAAGATCATATAAAGCGGGGTCATAATAAATTGGTTTGTTAATAACTCGATGTGAACCCTCTGTAATTTTTAAATAAATGTATAGTTACCTATTTGCGGTTTTCTAATAACATTAGGAGCAGTCCTATCATCTACAATGTTACTAGTCTCATGCCTAAGTGGTTTACAATGGCAAAGATGAGAAGGTACTGAAAAAAATGCAAAATAGGTAAGCGACTTTGATTTTGCGGTCGGCAGGCAACTCAATTGACAAGGTATTGTTTAAGATTTTTTTTTAAGGGAGACAAATCATCGAATAGCTGCTACCGCCTGGGTGAGGCGGGAGGGAGTGTCAGACTCTTACTGACTAAAAACCACCCCGTTCCTTCTCCTGCACGTCGAGCTGGAGCCCCGGTAACCCGTTAGGTTCTCCGCGATTGTTTAAGAAGAGTAGCAAACGGGGACACGGATCACCTGATGGTAAGCAATCGCCGTCGTCCATGCTCAGGTGTAACACCGGAGAAGTTACACACGCACTAAGCGCTTCGCATCAAGCTTCCTTGTGCGTACTGCTAAGGATCGGAATTCTTTGCCAGAGTCTGTATTTCCTGATTCTTTGCCGATTCTGTATACCTGGTAGTCATCAAGGCTTGAGTGAATAGGTTGCTTATGGTACAACGTACTCCATCATCGGTTACCACCAGGCGAGATAGTGGTCAAATGTCGGCCCATCAAATATGCCTTTAACCTTGACTTTGAGGATTGAGGATGGAAGATTGCGACTCCGGTAACCTCACTCATATGGTGAAACAGAAAGCAAGCGTTGTTTTTTGAGGCTGTTGCTTTTTATTTCTAAAGAAGCTATTCCTGCGCGTTTTCACCCGCTCTGCTCAGCTCCTATTGGTCTTAGTCAGATATTATAGAGGTATAGGCTATAGCGTTCCTCTTTAAATCGAGTATCCAACACAAAAAGATTGATCGGTAACGGTGACCTCTCGCGTCCGACTCTAGTTCAAACTATGATACGGAGCGAGGGGGATTGGGATGCCGTCTCCTCCATCTGCGAAGCATTCATGCTAGCTAAGGAGGAGGCGGAACGTGTGAGGGAATGAATCTTCTCACGCCCCAGCCGTCGCGAGAGACACTCTGGGCGTCGGGGATAGTGAGACGATCTCCGGCCACCGTAAGCACGGGCCTGCGGATGGCTAGCATGGGTGACTCGCCGCCTGATCAGAACCAGACCTGAGCGTAAGGCGCGTCGCGTTCCGCGCGCGCCTCAAGGAGCCATCTGACCACCACGGATGGGGCCGAATAGGGCTGATGCCGACACGAAGCCGCAGAGGGATTAACGGGTTACTGGGGCTCCGGCTCGAAGTGCGGGAGTAGGAACAGGGTGGTTTTTAGCCAGAAAAAGTCTGACACGGCCTTTCACCTTACCAGGGCGGAAGGAGACATTGGATGATTTTGCCCCTCGGAAAAACATATAACTCAAAAAGATTTTTTCAAATAGAACCAGTTCCAGAGATTAGCGCGTCCAAATAAACAAACACTCTTCAGCTTTGAATAATAAATCACAGTGTCATGCTAATATTATAAATGCGAAAATTTCTTTGTTTGTTTATTTGTCCATCAATCACGCTGAAGCTACTGAACGTATTTCGCTGAAAATTGGTATACAGTCAGGGTATGGGCTGACTTAGATGATAAGATAGCTGACTTAGATATGGAAGAAATAGGAATTAAATTCTACGCGGACAAAGTCGCGGGCAACAGCTAGTAAAGTAGAAGATTAGATACTTACCTTGCGGTGCCTTCCTAGCAACTTTAGGGGTAGTCCGTTGATTAGCTATATTAAAAGCTTTGTTCGTGAAACCCTGTTCATGCTGATCTTCTACAAATAAGAATAGATATCGTATTAAAAAATGTCTGGACGTAAGTGAAGAATTTCTAAAAAAACACAGTCAAAGTACATACATGTAAAGAGTAAATTCAAGTCTTATTTACGGCTTAAATTAATAATAGATCTCATACATACATACATAACTTCACGCCTGTCTCCCATGGGTAGTCAGAGACTAGGGAACGCCAATTACTACGGTTCCTACATACCTCTTTCGCTTCATCAACAGTCATCAATCTTTTCATGCATGCTCGTCGGTTAAGGGTACTTTTTTTACGTGTGAAAAGAGACACGTGTCGCCGGCGACGTTGGGTGGAGTAGCGCGACGTTGGCAGACTTTGATCGACATGTCTGGCAACATCAACGTCACTGTGGACATATGGCGTGTGTTGTCGCCTTATATAATACTAGCTACTTCCGCGCGGTTTCACACTCTATGCTCAGCTCCTATTGGTCGTAGCGTGATGTTTTATAAACTATAACCATCTTCGATAAATGGACTATCCAGCACAAAAATAATTATTCAAATCAGACTTGTAGTTACGGAGATTAGCGCGTTCAAACACACACAAACAAACAAAAAAACAAACTCTTCCGCTTTATATAATACATAGTATAAGATTAATTTCGGTCATAAGTTTACACATATACAACATGTAACTTAAATAACGCACATCCTGAAAATAGTTTGTTCAGAATCGTTAACTGAATCGATTTATATAATTTTTAGCAGGTACGGGTAATTTTTTATCCCAAAAAGAATTAAAACTACGGAAATTATTGTCATATTAACCCTGTATTGTTAAAACAAATCGAAATGGACCGTAAGTCAAAGCAATAAGACTTTTTGTACGGTTTCACAACCGCACATTTTTTTTTGTTTACGCGGCAACCTACTTTAGGCTAAAGGCGCGCGTACAATTTAGCGTAATAAAACAACGTGATTAACGAATTAAAATATAGTCAACTTATAACTTGGTAGCTATCAACAACTGAGAGAAATAATCGCCTTTCATTCATATTGTAATTTGATTGCAATAAACTAACTACTTAGTGCAACTGGGTGAAACTTGTTTCTCTACACTACATCAACTTCATCTTCACTACAAATCAATGTACGGAGTTAACTACTACAACTCGTACATTTAATGGTCCTTCGAGCCGGATCCGTATCTTAGTGTGTTTGTGTTTCTGGGTACGATAGCGAATCGGTTCAGCTGGTCTCCCACAAGCGGGTCGCCCCAGTTGGATTGAGAAGGCGCATATATCTAACCAGAGGACAGGCACATTGAGTATCGGAACCAACTACAACTTCTGGAGCAGTGAGAACCTTCGACTACTAGAAGAGCTTTCAACTGCTGCAACTAACTACAACTATTGAAGAACTACTACGAGTCACTTCAAAACTAACTTGAACATCAAGAAAACGTCATCTATAATCAAGATGAATAAGCTGTCACTACAATCAACATGTTTTGAAAACATCAAAACATTATGCACTAATTATAACAAGGATAGCAAAACCAGAAAAACAGCAGAATACTTGAATAAGCGGCTGTCCTCTTTAGAAGCTCAATGGATGGATTTCAATGCACGGCATACATTGCTCATGCAAGAAATTGAAGACCGAAACATTAACTATTTTGTCGAAGATGTCTACGGGAAGACAAAATTAATGTACGAAACAACGAAAGCAGACATTTTAAAACTGTCTCAAACAATTGAAGATAGTGTCAAATTCGACTTATCGGACTTGTCAAAAGGAGAACCTGATGAGAAAACAAAGGCATTGTTGACTAAACAGGAATGCAACTTCAAGGCCATCGATCGGGCTATGGCAAAAATTGATTTTGATGCTTTAGCTGAAAAATGGGAACTTGACGATCACTTGTCAATCTTGAAGTCAAAATGGGAAACTATTGACAACACTCATTGGGAACTGGAAGCTTTACTGAAAGGTTCAAACCACACATATTATGACAAGTTCAACAACATGGAAGACAGATATGACGAAATCCGAAAACAACTGAAAAGCAAGATGTGGTCCACAGCTCATCATCAACGTTCAGCACCAAGAATTGAGATTCCAGAATTCTCAGGACACTACAGCAAATGGATTTCATTCAAAGACCTATTTCTGGAAACCATACATAAAAACCCGACACTAAACAATGCTCAAAAAATGCAGCATCTGAAGACTAAGCTGAAAGGTGAAGCAGAAAGGCTGGTGCAACACTTAAGCATTTGTGCTGACAACTACACTTCATGTTGGGAGATACTAACTCAACGGTACGACAACCGTCGACTACAATTCTCATCGTACGTAAACACTATGATGCAGTTGCCTGTCATACAGAAGCCAGATGCTTACAACTTAAAGAAGCTGCATGACGTAACCACGGAATGTCTAAATGGTTTAACAAACATTGGGCTTGATGTAGCAAGTTGGGATCCCATAATTGCCCATCTGATGTCGCAGAAACTAGACAGTGGGAGCTACAATGAATACATAAAGAAATTACATGACAGTAGAGAGGTTCCCTCACTACAGGAATTTATGACGTACTTAGAAAACCAATTCATGGCGTTTGAAACCATGAAAACTTCAAAGAAAGATATACAAATTTCAGAGAAGTCGGCTGGAACTGAAAAACACGGAACTCGAAAAAACTTCGACCATAAGAAGTGGATTCCAAAGACTTATCATACTTCATACGGACAATGCCCTCTGTGTAAGAACAGTCATGTTTTAATGCGATGTCAACAGTTTATTGACTCGGATATAAAACAACGAAACAACATAGTTGCGAAATTGCGATTATGCAAAAACTGTTTGTTCACTCACGAAAGCAAAACTTGCAACTCTACAAAAACTTGTAAGGAATGTAATATGAAGCACCATACGCTTTTGCATTACAATACTTCTAATAAAAATACACTTTCAACGAGCAATGAGAACCAACGTTCAGGTCAACGACCTTCGAGGGAAACTGAAACACCAAGCTCAAATCACCTATCTGCCAGCGAGATGGAGACACTACTGACAACCGTCCAAATCAAGGTGGAAACGGTAGATGGGACTTATGTAACTCTTCGTGCGTTTTTAGATCAAGGCTCACAAGTGAACTTAATTACTGAAAATGCAGCGCAATTGCTTAAGCTGCCCAGAAACAAACTAACAGCGAAGATATCTGGAGTTGGAACTGTATCAGGCGATTGTAAAGGCCGCCTTAAAATAACATGCAAATCAATCCATTCCGAATATACTTTCAACACTGAAGCATTGATTATGAAAAAACTAATCAATAAACTACCGAATAACACATTCGAACGATCCTACTGGACGCATTTGCAAAACTTAAAACTAGCGGACCCTGAATTTAACATTTCAAGGTCTATTGACTTACTACTCGGAGCTGACGTTTACGCTGAGATAATACTAGATGGAATATTAAAAGGAGCACCAAAGTCACCCGTTGCTCAACAAACACAGCTGGGATGGATTTTGTGTGGGAAACTAGAAACTTTAAACTGTCACGTCACACTACTAGACTTGACTGATATAACCAAGTTCTGGGAATGTGAAGACGTCACCAAAACAAACTCGGATCAACCTCAAGACGATCGGTGTGAAACATACTACAAAGAAACTACCCGCCGTGGTTCAGATGGAAGATACATTGTGAAGATGCCTTTACATTCAGATTATGAAAATAAGATCGGAACATCGAAAACGATCGCAGTATCACAATTGCTGCAGTTAGAAATAAGGTTTAAAAGAAATGGCCGCCTTGAAATGCTATACAAGGATTTCCTTTGGGAATACCTAAAGTTAGGCCATATGAAACCAGCAAAACCTATGACATCTTCAACTATCGAATGCTTTTTACCTCATCATGGAGTACTCCGTGAAGAGTCAACGACCACGAAACTCAGAGTCGTCTTCAATGCTTCTCAGAAAACTAAGTCGGGATACAGCCTAAACTGTCTACAAGAAAAGGGCCCCAATCTACAGAGAGATATCCAAGAACTTATCACAAAATGGAGAACTTACAAATACGCCTTTACAGCTGACATCGAGAAAATGTACCGATGTATCTGGCTGTCTGAGGATCAACAACATTTGCAGAAAATTATATGGCGAACTACGCCGTCAGACAAACTGCAAGAATATCAACTATGCACCATAACTTATGGAACTAAGTGCGCGCCGTGGCTAGCCATGAGAACCATCAAACAACTAGCTTACGATGATGGCAATAAATTTCCCACGGCCGCCAAGGTACTATTGAATGAAACATACGTCGATGACGTCATAAGCGGCCACAACTCACTGGAAGCGGCCCAGGAACTCCAGACATCGCTTATCAACATATTTAAGGGAGCCGGGATGAACCTACGCAAGTGGTCCAGCAATGATCAAGCATTATTAGAAAACTTAAGTGAGGATCAGATCTCACGCAGAAACACTTTTAACTTCAAGCAAGAGGAATCTACGAAAACTTTAGGCCTAGGATGGAATCCGCATGCCGACACTTTTATTCTTAACTGGAAATATGAAGAAATTGGTCGACTGGAAATAACAAAAAGGCGACTACTTTCGGAAATTTCACAACTTTATGACCCGTTGGGTTGGCTATCACCCATAACTATTGCGGCGAAGATAATATTTCAAGAAGTGTGGCTCAATAAACTCGGTTGGGATGACCAGTTACCGTCACATATAACGAATAAGTGGCTGAAACTAAGAGCTGATATTCCCAATGTAAAACATATGAAAATCAAGCGCTGGATTGGGTCAACGAACCAAAACATCGAACTGTTTGGATTCTGTGACGCCAGCGAGAAGGCTTACTCTTGCGTAGTTTACAGCTGCGTCAGAGATGAACATAACAAGCCAATAATCACATTACTTGCTGCGAAAACAAGAGTGGCACCGTTATCACAAACGATCACATTACCGAAACTTGAGCTTAATGGCGCGAATCTACTAGCACAACTCATCAAAAAGATCAGCGAAGCACTAATTGACTTCAAAATTACTACAAGCGTTTGGTGCGATTCCCAAGTGGTCCTGGCATGGATACAGGGGGATATATCTAAGAGGGAAAAATACGTTGCCAATCGAGTTACAAAAATAAGACAAATCATACCAGCCCAGCAATGGCGTTATGTGAAGTCGCAAGAAAATCCTGCAGACTGTGCATCAAGAGGATTGCTACCAACTAAACTAAAAACATTCAGTCTGTGGTGGGAAGGGCCCACATTCCTGAACACCTTCCAAGAAAAAGAGCATGATGAAAATTTTACATGCACTTTTACAACAAATATAGGCAGCATTTGCCAGACGAAATCGAACTCCAGTAACAACAAAGAGGTCAATCATTGTATTCACAACTTATTAACTAATTACAGTTCATTGACCAAGGTAATCAGAATATTAGCATGGGTACAACGATTTATTCGCAACGCACGTAATAACACGATACGTGACACCGGATGCCTAACTTTGTGCGAATTAAACAATACTAATGAACAAATAATAAAATATGTGCAGCAAACGGAAATTATGCAAGAATATAAACAACTCATGAAGAAAGAAACAATTTCTAGCAAAAGTAACATTTTTAAACTTAAACCTTATATGGACAACAACGGATTGATACGAGTAGGGGGCCGACTAAATCATTCCAGTTTACCATTTGAGATGAAGAATCCAATCATTCTACCTAAGGGTGGACGACTAACTGAATTGGTGATCCGTCAAGCCCACTTAACGACGTTACATGGAGGCGCCAGACTAACATTAGCGCACATTCGGCAACGATACTGGATCGTTGGCGGTAATAGAGCGGTGAAAGCTGAACTACGGCGCTGCGTGCGCTGTCATCGCTACAACCCAACAGAGTCAAACCAACTCATGGGAGAACTACCTCCACAACGAGTAACACCTTCACGTCCGTTTACCCACACGGGAGTTGACTTCACAGGACACGTCGAAGTTAAACTCAACAAAGGGAGAGGAGTTCGAACTTCCAAGGGTTACATATGCATATTCATATGCATGGTGACTAAGGCGGTGCACATCGAACTTGCATCTGATTTGAGTACGGAAACTTTCATCGAAGCCTTCCAGAGAATGTGCTCCAGGCGCGGTACACCAGGTCACGTCTACTCGGATTGTGGTACGAATTTCGTAGGCGCAGCAAAGTTGCTTCAGAAGGAATTTGAAGACTTCAAGCAAATCCTGTCGCCAAGCTTCTTCAATAACATCGCAGACATGGGAGTACAATGGCATTTTAATGCACCCGCCTGGCCAACTGCTGGTGGACTATGGGAAGCAGCAGTAAAGTCGATGAAATATCATCTTCGTCGGGTGTTGGGAGATCAAAAACTGACGTACGAGGAATTTGCCACCCTGCTTGCGAAGATAGAAGCGTGCATGAACTCCAGACCACTTTGCCAACTGACGGAAGATCCCGAAGAATTTTATAACTACCTGACCCCAGGTCACTTTTTAACGGGAGGTCCAACAATGTCCTTGCCACGGAGTAACCACACTAATGAAAACAACATAGACCTCCGACGGCGATGGCAATTAACTGAACACATGTACCAACAATTTTGGAAGAATTGGTCAAGCGACTATCTTACTCAATTACAAACGCGAAGCAAGTGGAACAATCCCAAGAAAAACCTCAGCAAGGGGGATATTGTACTAGTACGGGACAACAATTTACCACCAGGGAAATGGGCCATAGGACGGGTGCTAGAACTTCACCCTGGAACAGACGGATATGTTCGAGTGGTCACGCTGAAAACCCAAAACGGTGTCATTAAACGTCCTATAGTAAAACTATCGGCGCTACCAATCGATGCAAACTGCAATGAAAATTATGAAGCATGTATAGCGGACCAACAAAAGCATGAGAGACCTACCACAACAAAACAATGGGGAAGAAAATGTCTTACAAACATTTTAATATTTCTATTTACAATGTTGATATTTGTGAATGGATCATATGGTTCGCAACTAAGGTCGAACACTCAAATTACCTACCTTGAAAACGAGCGACCGATTTATTATGACACCATAGGCAAAATAGAACTCATTCACGATGAATGGACTTTGCTTACGTATTACAACTTGACAAACTATTGGCAGGGCGTTCAACACATTGAAAATTATATCAACGGTGTAAATGACCTTTGCCAAAAGATCCATCAAAGCTATTGCCAGGCTACGACCGACCAACTTGCTCACGAGATGGAACTGCTGAACTTTTACAACACAATGCTGCTGGCTCCACACAAGCATTTATCTATGCGCAAAAAACGCGGCTTGATTGACGGAGTAGGCATGATAGCTAACAGCTTATTTGGTATCTTAGACCAAAGGTTTGCTGACAAATATCACAATGACATAAACGCCATACAAAAAAATGAAAACTACTTGCGTGAACTTGCAAAAAACCAAACATCCATCATGCAATTACAAAATGACGTACTGAAGAAAAATGACGAAAACATCAAGCTCCAATGCAAGATGATTGAACACTTCATGGAAGAAACCAAGGCGAATCTAGGCAGTATTGAAACTGAAATACAAATAATGATGGCCACAAGTTATTTCAACTCCGCTTCGCTCACGGCATCACTACTTTTACGGAATCTCAAGGAAATTCAAACAATGCTCCTGAACACGTTAACTAATGTTTACAGTGGACATATGGACGTACACTTGATATCACCGGTCAGCCTTATAAACCAACTGGAAGACATATCTGGCAGACTACCCAAGACTCTATCATTACCAACAGAAAATATCAGAGAAGATATCAAGGAACTCTACAAGTTGCTCTATGTGAAAGCACGAATAACGAAGAACTACTTCATGTTCGAAGTTCACATTCCATTAACTTCGAATGATGACTTCACTTACTACCGGGCTATCGCTATACCATTCAAGACGGAGTCAAATTACAAATTGATGCAGTTATCTTCAGAATACATTGCCGTCAACTTTGAAAAGAACTCTTATATCTCACTAAGAGACAAAGACTTTAAGCAATGCGTCACTAAACAAAATAACAACTTTATTTGTAGCGCAAATATGCCAGTTTTCAACTTACAAAACAAGAAAGCACCTTGCGAAGCAAAACTACTGGGACATCGTACAACTACGTCACCTTGTGACGTCCATGGCGTGTCATGCGAGGAATCTTGGATCAAGTTACAAGAATTGAACAGCTGGCTGGTTGTTTGTTGCGGAAGGTGCGAATTACGTACTGTTTGTGAAAACGACGTAATATCGCAAACTATCACATCAGCGGCTATTGTAACTTTAAGTCAAGGATGCGTACTGCAGTCAAAAGAACTTACCATCACTTCGCACAATCGATACAACAGCAACCTCGACGTTAACTATGACATGCACGTGCCGAACCTAAATTCACCGATTAACAAAATAGTTAACACTACACTCCACAACTCGCCACACGAACTCTTCAAGCTTAAGAAAAACGACTTCGAGGAGATTGACAAAAGGCTGCGCTTCCAACAAGAGAACGAGCCGAAACTACCATCAACGATCTCGGATCATGATGTTCACCAATATGCAATTTGTTACTTTTTACTAACAATTGCTGTCATCACTTTCCTATGGATCATTTCAAGGAAATATTGCACACTGCTCAGGAAGCGATTTCCAAAGAAAACAACTAGAACGCGAACGCATGAGGACATCGAACTTCAACCAATGGGATCTCGACGGGAAACTGCCAGAGAAGTAATCCAGCAGGCGCCCTCGGACGACTATCATGGTCAGCCCCAAGGACACCGAGCCAACCCTGCCTTTACTTTTGATTAACTGTTATTAGTTTACATTAATATCTTTATTTACCTTAATTTTTTTCTCGTGGACTTTTATGTTCTTTATTTCATGTTTATTTTAATTTATTACATGTTTACTTTTACTTTTACTTTGACTTTGTACAGGCGTTTCTTTCTCTCTCTTTTAACTCATTGCAGCTTCTTTTGGGGGTTGCCAATATGTACGGTTTCACAACCGCACATTTTTTTTTGTTTACGCGGCAACCTACTTTAGGCTAAAGGCGCGCGTACAATTTAGCGTAATAAAACAACGTGATTAACGAATTAAAATATAGTCAACTTATAACTTGGTAGCTATCAACAACTGAGAGAAATAATCGCCTTTCATTCATATTGTAATTTGATTGCAATAAACTAACTACTTAGTGCAACTGGGTGAAACTTGTTTCTCTACACTACATCAACTTCATCTTCACTACAAATCAATGTACGGAGTTAACTACTACAACTCGTACACTTTTAAAATCGCAGTTTTATTTGTATTCATACAAATTCTATCATTCAATACAAAATAAAGAAAAATAAACCTTATGACAAGACCAGTAAGGATGCATATACATGTTAAATTAAAAATTAAGTGTATGTATTATGATTATAACATAATATTCTAATTGGGGTGTTTGAGGGTGTGCGTTAATTACATTAGGTACATGTTGTATATATATATAACCGGTCTAATAACCATAGAAATGATTGAATAGTAGAATTATATACTAACCTACTTGGTCGTATATGTCAAGAGGTAAAGGTTGCGGTGGACGTGTCGATATGTCTCTGTAGCGACCTGTAGATAAAAAAACACAATTTCAGTGCGGTAATTAGGTACTTTCCCTACTTAAAAATAATCTATTTCGACTGTTCAATACAATAAACTATTAAAACACTTTCATTAATTAATTTTATGACCAACTTAATTTTAATATTTTTTCAGCAATTTTTTAAGAATTAAGTATTCTGTTTGACCCTAAAAAAACGTGACGTCACAATACACAATCTCGTACAAAATTCATAGAAAACTCTCCGTTTTTGACAGTTCGAAAAAAGTATTGAATTCGACTAGTTGGCCAGTACCTGATTAAACCACTGATAGCGTAACAACCGATCACCTAGCCACTGTTAATCGCAAAGACATAAAATATCTGTCTAGGGCGGCATCCTTTCTCCCCTATTAATACTAAAAGGGCGCCCTCTACCGACTTCCCCGGCGCGCTCCCGCTCACTAGATACATCTATTTCGTAAATCTCCTAACATCCACCTTTCAATATGACCAAACCATCTTAAACAATTGCGTACTAGCCAGTTACTTGACAGTTTTGTATGAATTTTGTATGAGATTGTGTATTGTGACGTCACGTTTTTTTTAAGTGTACCTATACAATAAAAATGTGATTATTTTTTAATATTTTATTGTATTGTACATACAGTCTAAATAATGTATTGATTAACTCGTCGAGTACCGGTTTTGTAGACACAATTATAGAACTATAGGTTGCGGTCACCGGTGACCGCTTGGTGTTTGACAGTTTAAAGAAAGTACCCAATTAACTCGTCGAGTACCGGTTTTGTAGACACAATTATAGAACAATAGGTTGCGGTCACCGGTGACCGCTTGGTGTTTGACAGTTTAATACATCTTTACACTTTATATAAAATAAATGCCTTTCATCACCATAGGTCGGCGAAAATAAAATCAAATATTTGTAAACAAATCTTGAGGCCAGGGTAGGACTACGTCTGTATGTATATATCCGCCGCGTCACTCTCCCGCCCACTCTCTCTCACTCCATTTACTGACACCTCATAACGGCTTTACATTAGCGCTTGTCCAGCGTAGGCGTTCGACAAACGTATACGCGCGGCACAGACGCCGCGACTAGGCAGCGCAGGCGTTGTGTTGTCAAGGTGTCAGTGGTGCAAAGGTAAATTAATACGCTGCATTAGCACCGCAAGCGCGTCGCATGCGCCGCGTTACCCACCATCCTCTTCACATCCAACCTCTCCCCGCCACCCGCAACCACTCGCTCCTGTGCATCCGTTGTGTGACAACGCAATTATGTGACATCTGCGCAGTTCAGAGACCTTTTTTTTAAGGGGCGGGGAAATCATCGAATGTCTGCTCCCGCCTGGGTGAGGCGGGAATGAGTGTCAGACTCTTACTGACTAAAAACCACTCCGTTCCTTCTCCTGCACGTCGAGCCGGAGCCCCGGTTACCCGTTAGGTTCTCCGCGACAGTTCAGAGACCTTAGTACGGGTATGTTTTACGTTTAAAGTAGGTATTCGAAACGAGTTCGCGTTGGGCACTCTGATTGGCCGGCGCCAATGAACCAACCAATCAGAGCGCTGTATGCGTCTCGTCTCTCGTCTCGTCTCGCTGAAGGCTTCAGTTGACTATAGAGGAAACGCCGCAACAACCCGTATCTGCGCTGCGCACGCGTTTTCATCGCTAGATAAAGACGGTCTCACAATAGTCATAATAAACTTACCTACAAGCTTCTGGCGTTTAATATAAACAATATATAGTGTTTGACATATCACTATTATTCCAAAAAATGCGATAATTATTGGAAATGGATTCGTGTCGTCATCTGAAAATAAAAAAAAATTAAAATATATCTACAATACATGGATGTTAGAACTTTAAACACAAGATGCATATGTTAATAGGCGTGGCGACTATTTTTTAATTTTTTGTCCGTCTTTTAGATATTTTAAAAATTTTCGATACGTATTTTTTCTTTTTTCTCGTATCCAAAAAAACATGTAGATATTTTGAGTTAAAATGACGCGTGACGTCACACATAGGTACGATTTCTCCGTAAGTGTGACGTCAACACCCCCACTCCCTAACTTTAATGCGGAATAACTACGTATTCTTCTGTTAATTTGATAAAACAAAAAATACGTGTCTGATATTTTCGTGCGATCTTAATGACGGACTAATTACTTTTTTGATTTTTTTACCCTGTCGACACGCCTATTCTAGTTACATCGTATTACATAACATTACGTTAAATAACGTTATATTATGTTAAACTGCCTCGATGGCCGAGTGGTCGCAAGCGCGACTGCCGGGTAAGGGGTCTCGGGTTTGATTCCCGGGTCGGCCAAAGTACTCAAAGTCAAAGTCAAAGTCAAAATCATTTATTTCAATTAGGCCAGAATGGCACTTTTGAACGTCAAAAAAAAAATTGAAAATGAAGCTATTTGCTCATTCCAAGGCGTAGATTCCTATGGAGAAGAACGAGCAAGAAACTCCATAGGTTACTCTTTTTCAATCAGGTTCACAATACAATTTACTAGTTACATAGCTTTGCTGTTTGGATCGTGCGAGAACAATGTAACACTAAAATCCAGTCAAAGTGATCAAAAAAGAAAATAACCTTAAGGACAATAATACAGTCTGGAGCTGACCAGTCCCAGTTGACGGCGCCCGTTCACGAACATGACACGTACACCAGCACCGCCCAACTCAACCATATTGTAGGGAATCGAGCGATACACTGCACGCGCCACCGCCAATGAGACTTTTTAGTGAGCATGACAACTCCAAACTGACACAAATGAAATCTACTAATCTAAATATTAAGTTAATTACATGGCTCTCACATTTACAATGGTTATCTAAGTTAAACAATATACAATTTAGCAATATGGCTGTATTATTTACTATTTAATTAAAACAAGTGTTTTTAGTTATCCTGTGGAGCCGGAGCAGCCTGCATCCAAGCATTTTTATCCTCTATATATATTCATTAAGTTTGTAATATGCTTGTCTACATAAAGTTTTCTTTATACATAATTTAAATTTGGTTTCATTTAGTTGTTGTAAATCGCCTGGTATCTTATTATAACATTTAACACAGAATCCCATGAACGACTTACTTACTTTCGCTAATCTCGAAATTGGCTGACTTAATCTATTCTTATGTCTAGTTTGATAGTGGTGTCTGTCCGACACTTTACCAAATAGCTGTAGGTTTTTCCTAACATACATAATATTTTCATAAATAAATTGACATGGAACGGTCATAATGTTGATCTCCTTAAACCTTTCTCTGAGAGATTCGCGACGACCTAGATTGTAGATAGCTCTGACGGCGCGCTTTTGTAAGATCCGCAGCGTGTCCCCACAGCAAAATGCCATACGACATAATGCTATGAAAGTAAATGAAATACACTAGTCTTGCCGTGTCTATGTCAGTTAACTGTCGTATCTTCCAGACAGCATAAGCTGCAGAGCTCAATCGTCCCGCTAATGATGTAATGTGAGGACCACACTACTACTGTGTTTTTTTTAAATCTCAGTAGTAGCACGGAGTCTAGAAATGTGCCCGGTATATAGCAGGCGAAAGAAAAGGCGTGATGTTATGTTAAATACTTACCAGGGGTTAAAGATACTGCTGCAGTGGGATGAAGCATCGTCTGTTCCTCTAAAATAAAATACAAATTCATTCATAAATAAAACATGTCACTAGGTAGTAGATGTAATTGAATCGACCAGAGCAACTGAGAAGTACGGTGGCCAGCCGATCAAGTTATATTTTCTGTTAAATTTCTTTATTATATTTTTAACTTTATAGTATTGACATAAAGTCGAAGATTGAATGAATAAATTTAACAAATCTGAGTAGATTGATCTGCTGGCCACTGTACCCAGGACCGTCTAAGGGCTCGTACACAAAACTACGATGCGACGTCGCATCGCAACAACTTGCGAATTGATTCGCATCGCGCATCAAAATCTTATCTTCCTTCTTTGTTTCTTTTTCCTATATCTCCTTAGCAATAACAAAAGTGCACACTTCTTTTTACGATCAATGTCACGACCTAGTTTTCAATTTAAATACGTTTACGCTACGGTGTCCACTTACCGTGGACCGTAAACTTCATTGCTACTGATAGTACTTAGTGTGAAAATGATGTTATGTTTATTTTGTGTTTTGGTGGTCCGGACGTTTAAGACGCATCTTCTGACACGGCTAAGGTTTGAGTATTAACCACCACGCTTGCTCAATGCGGGTTGGCGATTTCAAACTTATAATTAGACGTTAAAAGCCCAGGTTTCCTCATGATCTTTTCCTTCACCGTTTGTCAGTGGTGTCTAAATAATCTTAGTCAAGTACATGTAACTCGGAAAAGTAACATTGGTACTTGCCGTTTTGGTGGAGTTTGGAGTTGGACACACGTCAGTGTTGTTGGAGGACACACGCCAAGGAGTTGCATACTTAACGCATGCATGAGAAGCTGGCGTCTTAAGCCCCGGGCCACCACGACACAATTTTATTTACTATTATTATATCTATAAATGAAAATGAATTTCCGTTCTTTAGTCCCGCTAAAAGTCGAGAACCTGAACCGATTTGGATAATTTTTAACCGACTTCAAAAAAAGGAGGAGGTTCTCGATTCGACCGTATATGTGCTTTTTTATGTTTGTTCGCCGATATCTCCGTTATTTATGAACTGATTTTGATAATTATTTTTTTGTTGGAAAGGAGATAGTCCCAGAATGGACCAATGATAAGGAAATCAGGATCTGATGATCGAAGACCAGGGAAACCGAAGAGAACTTTAAAAAGTCATAGGGGCGACTAGTACATTTATTCATTTTTTCATTAAGTATTAAAAACCACTACAATCTGATAAGGGTCTAGAGGCGATCTGATGATGGAGCCAAGAGCCAGTCGAAGGACTCCTCAACGGTTAACAGTAGCCACCTTGTGTTTGAGTTTGATTAATTTGTATTGATGAGGACTTTACACCTAGGTGGAGTGTAATTATCAATAAGGGTCTGATGATGAAGTAGTACGATAGTTGAGAGAACTCCTCAACGGTTACCAGTAGCTATGTAGTGTTTGGGTTTGATAATTTGTATTGATGAGAACTTTACACCTAGATGAGATGTGATTGCGATTAAAGGTCTGATGATGAAGTAGTACGACATTTGAGGGAATTCCTCGGCGGTTACCAGTGGCTACCTTGTGTTTGGGTTTGATAATTTGTATTGATGAGGACTTTACACCTAGATGGGGGGGAGGGGGTGATGGTCATTAAATGTCAAATGATGAATTAGTATAATAGCTAAGGGCACTTCTCATTGGTTAAGAGTGGCCACCAGGTGTTTGAGATTGAATAATTTGTATTGATGAAAATTTTCATCCATGTGGGTTGTGTATAATATAATATATCAACACACAGACTGTGTGGCACCGACTTTTAACCTATCAGTGGGTGCGTAAGCTATAAGTACGTGAGTATGACCAATAATAGTTTTTTTTTTTCATTTTTAGTTTTTACTTTTCGTTTGTCTTCAGTTTCTGAACGGTTTTTTTAAACGCAGTTTTTTAATGGTAGGTATTGAAATGTTTGTGAAGGTCCAGGGAAGGTCTAAAAGGTGAGAAAAATCTTTTTAAGTGGCACACACGGCCACACATCAATCTATACAAAACCAGTTTATCCTGGTGTCGCGTCGCATCATCTTTCCGCACATTTAACGTTCAGTTTATACTGGTTGTGTAAAGCTCGACTTGTAGCCGTGTGTACGAAGTTTGGCGGCTCAGCTAGCAAAAATATAAAACTTACTGATTGTGACGTTAGTTTTACAGAAACAGGAAGTTTTGGTGTGAATATTAATGAGCTTCGAACAAATTTTGTGCGTCGTATCCAGTCCACCAAAAAAAATAAAGGAAAATTTCCAGCCTCCGTTTAAGTCATGTCCCAAATCGATAACCTGAAAAAAAAAATTCAATCGCACCATCACACATCAACAGCCTATAAATGGCCACTGCTGACCATAGGCCTCTTTTCTCGCGGAGAAGGTCTGAGCATCAATCACCACGCTTGCTCAATGCGGATTAGCTATTTCAGACATAACATGAAGAAAGAAAGAAATACCATTTATTTTGCTACGACACACAACAAGAATTTAGAAACACAAAAAAAAGCCCATGGTGCGTCGCAGCGCAATATATATAATTACATCACGCCTTTTATCCCCGAAGGGGTAGGCAGAGTTGCACATTATACCATTGTACAATGTAACACCCATTTTTCACTATTTATGTTATGAGTCTCATGTAATAGGGGTGAGCCTATTGCCCTATACCGGGCACATTGCTTTGCCCGACCCGGGAATCGAACCCTAGACCCCTTGCCCTGCGCACTTGCGATAAATAAGTAATACAATAAAGTTAAATATATACTTACAAGTAACTAACTAGGTACTTACAAAAGTATAAACAACACGTAAATTCAAGACTCCATTGTCATTTGACATATTACCATGGAAGTCTATTATATCCGGAATAGTAATATGATGATTTATATTGTTCACACGCAATCTGAAACATAGGTACAGGGGGCTTACTCTTGAATCCAATTCCGATCGATTGACATTGACATTGTGAAATTTCGTACTCTTGGGTTGCAACACTAGCGCCCATTGCATCCGTATTGCGTGGATATTGAATGAACTAAATGGTGAATAATATTGAATGAAGTGTGGCTTTATATTCCGTACTCTGAATGCTATTTCAACAGCTACGGTAGGGGTTGTATAGTTTTGACATTGAATCATTATTGAGATTTTATTGGATTGAAATTGCATTGACATTGAGATTAGTTTCAAGAGTAAGCACCCTGGTATATACATTACGGGGCATCGCACACAATAACGGCACTGACACGGCACGGGTCCGTCCGGCGCGACGTTTTTCAGCTTCGGAATCAATATAAACAGACTACTTCCGCGCAGTTACACTCGATCTGCTCGGCGCCTATTAATCGTAGTGTGATATTTTATAGCCTATTGCCTACCTCGATAAATGGGCTATCCAACACTGAAATAATTTTTCAAATCGGACCAGTAGTTGCGGAGATTAGCGCGATCAAACAAACAAACAAAAAAACAAACTCTTCCTCTTTATATAATTAGTACATATTGTAAAGGAGGCCATACACGCTAGGTTATGCATGATAGTTATAACTTTGCATGCAAAACCGACAAGCATAACCGAGTTTCATACCACACATACACATATACATTAGGTTTTGCATGTACACAATTTTTTTTTTTCTTTTTCCTTGGCAACCGAGTCTCCAATACGATGTTGTCGACTATAGTGCCAGTGTCGGGTGGTGACGGCAGATTAATGAGCCGTCGAAGTTAACTTTGCGGTAGTTTTTAGTAGTTAGTAGCTGAAAGGACAAAACAATTGGGTTAGTAAACATATAAACATTACCAACTATTTTACTGTATGAGTACAGGGGTGAAGAAAATAGTTGGGGGGACGTACACAATACAGACACACAGATATATACACCATTTACATAAATGTCACCGTCATAGTTTAATCTCATTATCATTAATGAATCTACATAAACAATGGATTAATTTAGGGGAAAAGTGAGTTAAAAGGAGGTGGAAATTAATTGGAAGTGGGATTTGAATACTGGGGAGTTTTTTATAAAGGTCAAAAGATTGGGAATTTAAAGGACACGAAAAAAATATATGGTCTACAGTTCCCTCGTCAAGGCCGCATTCACACAGCGAGCTGTCGCGGACACGGATCTTGTTGAGGAGCATGTACACAAAACACCGCTAATTAGTTTGCAGCGCTACACATCGACACTACTGTCATTTACACAGTGTGCATGTGTGGGTAATTTCATATTACTGTTTCACCGATAACTGTACAGTTTAATCACACACACGCTAGGGCTTGCTTGTCCGTTATACATGCACGGCTAAAACCATCACGCAAAACCTGTATGGCCTCCTTAAGCGCGCCGGCGCATACAACTTTTTCATATTGACTTGTTTTTTATGGGATGAGCCGGTAAACGAGCAGACGGATCCCATGGACAGATGGAACGCCAAAGGTGTCAAAAGTGCGTTACTGGCATTTTGGGGATTTGGAGTTTGAGGATTGTTGGGGATTCAGGGATTGGAGAGATTGCAGAAGGGGAGTGGGGGTAATTGGGCCTCCGGACCTCACTCACATGACGAAACATGACGCAAGCGTTGCTTCACGTCATTTTTCTGTGAGGTCGTGTTAACACTCCTGTCGAGCCGGCCCATTCGTGCTGAAGCACGGCTCTCCAACACTCAAAATATGTCATATGACATAAGATTTAATGTTCAAATTTAAATGACAAGTGATTTGTTGGGTTGGAGCAGTGCCCGTTTAGTTTAATATGACCTTAATGCCCGCCGCCAAGCTGCGGACGACCTATCAGCTATGCAGCTCCAGGAGCGCCTTGAAACTAGTTAAGTTAAGCCCAAATACTGAAAGGCTACTTAATATTAAGTAGTACTTAAATATCGTACCATCTCTGTCATTGTACAAAGAATTTTTAGTGACAGAACTATACTTAATATAACAAACACAACATCACGCCTTTTATTCTCGAAGATATAGGAAGAGGTGGACATTACGCCACTGTACAATGTAACACCCACTTTTCACTATTTATGTTATCAGTCCCATGTAATAGGGGGTGAGCCTATCGCTATATAGCGGGCACAATTCCAGACTCCGTGCTACTACTGGGAATTAAAAACCTATAGGCTGCTCACCTACGTTTCATTATTTATCATTTCATTATTCTATACCTCCCTCAAATTCATACTTTTTACTATTAGTTAGCTCACCTCTTTTCTTTAATATTTTCTTCTTCCAATAGAATCTGTCAATACTTTTGTTTTCTTATGTCATAATTTTTCCATTGTAAAAATGTCTTCACGATAAATTATATTTTATTAAACCCGATTATTTTACATTTTAAATATTATTTACTTTCCGCCGTATAGGTGAACCCCTATAGTGGTAACTCCCTAAAAACCCAGTAATACTTTGCCCGACCGGGGAATCGAACCCGAGACCCCTTGCTCGGCAGACGCACTTGCGACCACTCGGCCAACGAGGCAGTCACTCTCAACTATACTTAATTGCGATTTAAAAAGTCATCAACATCAACAACCTACACGTAGCCACTGCTGACTGAAGGCCTCTTCTCATACAGATAAGGTTTGAGCATTAATCACCACGCTTGCTCAATGCGGTTTGGCGATTTCAAACTTGTAATTAGAAATTATAAGCCCAGGTTTCCTCACGATGTTTTCCTTCACCGTTTGTCAGTGGTGTCTGAATAATCTTAGAAAGTACATATAACTCGGAAAAAGTCACATTGGTACTTGCCGTTGGTAGGTTTCGAACCCGCACCCTCATGCATGAGAAGCGGGCGTCTTAAACCTCCGGGCCACCACGACATT